TTATTGTACATGCAACAAATTCAATAGAGTGTATTATTACATTTACTACATTTAAAGTATCTTGTGGCATATTTTTTCTTGGTCTAAAATCAACTATAACCAATAACTCAGCTGTTCTAATGAAATGCAAACTTGTTAGAATTGCTTGGCCCTCCATATCTGGTAGCGTGGCCGAGCGGTCTAAGGCGCTGGTTTAAGGCACCAGTCTCTTCGGAGGCGTGGGTTCGAATCCCACCGCTGCCAAGTTTCTTTATTTGCAGTGTGCGTCATGATAGGCCGACTAAAACCACGCGGGATGCTGGGAGATTACGTGAAAAGCTTGTAAACCTCCAGCCGTTAGCTGAGTGATTTGCAAGCTTTTTGAGTATTGTCCCAACATCTTATGTGGTTTATTGCGGCGTTAAAGCCATAGAAAGAGTGATTTATTGTCAAAGAGTAGAAAATGTATCGTACTTTCGAGATCAAGTTGCTTATTCTCACGGTAATGTTATGAAAAGATGCGGCAAACCAACGACAGAAGCTGAAAGAATGAAAGCATAGGCTCAGCGCAGCACACAAGATCCGCAAAGCAAAGCGACGAAAACATTTAGCGTTATAAATGGTTTAGCAAAGGAAAGGAAAGGAAAAGGTTATCGATGAAAGACAGAGAGTGCATTAGTGCATTAGTAGTACAAACTTCATGCGCTTGTCAAGACCTTAGCGAAGTTATTCAACGATAACTTTAAAAAGTTTTGCAAATGGAATAAAGGTTGGTTCTAAAAGCGCTGCTTCTGAAATTTCTTTACTTATGTTGAAGGCTATGAAGTCCGTGTTTCTCTGTATTTTGCTGAATGATCAGCTATCACTTGAGAGCTTCGTGAGAACTAAATTCATCTAGCTTAACTCGAAAGAAATCTTTTACCATCTTTTTTGATTACCCAAATTGATCAGTCATGCCCAGCTGTAATATATCAGAACTACGTCTTCCACAGACCGTTGCAAGCACTCTTTCTTCTAAACTCAAGCGTAAACAGAATCGGCTTTAAATTTTTGCCCTGTTGTTCTGAACAAAACGGTCAGTATATGTTGAATTAAACGCTATTCGTAGTTTTGATATCACAGCTAGGGAAAGCCAAAAATATGGATAAAGCTTATGTTCTCGGTAGTATTCTGAGTCTCCAGTTCTGTTGCAGTGCTGTCTGAAATCACTGCAGGCGTTTATCAATACAATAAAGGTAGATGTTTTCACCAATCAAAGCGCGCGTGATATTTCAGTCACTATAAATGTGAAAAAAAAAAGATAAAAAGCACTTTTTGCTATGAAAATCCCATAATAAAAAGCACCATCAGCCTTAACCCTTGGACATACAAGGTAATTCATACCTCTAGCGTGGTACAAACAGAGGGGGAGGGGGTTGATGGAACCAGCTTCCCCCCCCCCCTCTAGGATTTCGTTCTGTTAGAGCACGGCGAAATAAATTTACATTGATTAGATAACCCTGAGCTTCCGCTACAAGATGATACCCTTTTTTGAAGGTTATGACACCGTATGACGTCAAATGACGTCTTCTGACCCGGCATTTCGGATCCGCCATCTTGGATTTCATGGTTATTTAAAAAGTCAAAAACTACCAAAAATTAATGCAAAATCAAGCCACAATACTTTTGAAACGTACGAATTCGCGAATTTCGACAAGTTCATGAAGAAAACTAAAAAAATACAGAATTGTGTCAAAAAAATTTGTGGCCAAAGCTACATGAAATTTGATGGTTGCCATGGCAACGTCAAAAAATGATAGACACACAATTGACAAAATAAAATTTCTGCAGAGGATGAATGAACAGCTACTGAAAGTTTCAGCCCCTCAGAGTAAATTGTTTTCTCAAAAATTTGAAAAAACCTTATGGGGGCGTTTCATACCTGGTAGCGTGGTCAGACGAGGCAGAAACTTGTTTTTAGGAGAGTGGAGAGGACCACATTTGGATATGTTCGAATTGTTGTGTCTTTCTAGGAGGAATTAATTTGGCGACAAATTCTGAATACGATGTGTTCCGGAGCATTATACGAATTAAATTTGAACTTGTCCTTGTATTCGCATGTATTCTTGTGTTCTGTATCATAATCACCGTGCAAAAAGATATTACGAACTCACGCCATTGAAGAAACTGGTGCTTTACACCACTAACAAAATTGTTACAAATTGATCACGGAGTGTCACGAATATGGATCACGATATCTGTCATGACTCATGCGCGTGATGATGATGATGATGATAATAATAATAATAATAATAATAATAATAATAATAATAATAACTTTATTTAAGTGTCAAATGTATCTAGCGCTATTTAATGTGCTAAGTGGTGACACTGTAAATAAATAAACAAATATTTCAAATATAACATAAACTATTTAGAGTGATGTTCTGAGAGTGTCGAGAATCGGAAGTTAGTCACGAAAAATCGATTTTTCTTTTATTTCGCCAAAACATACCTTTGGGTTAACTTATTCAAGGAAAAA